AGGAAGGAAGGAAGGAAGGAAGGAAGGAAGGAAGGAAGGAAGGAAGGAAGGATTTTTAATGTAGGAATTCTAAACTCTGAAATACAATTTCCAGGGGAATGGTCATGTTAGTCTGTTGCAACAAGTTAAGATATTTTCTGATACTTTTAAAGCCTAATTTTATAGGATAGAAATAAAACCTTGATGAGTTTTGTATGTTTGGTTTTATCATTTGCATGCCATTTCTATCCAACATTCAAGGAGACTCTAGGTGACTTACAGTGCAATAAAAACAATGAAACAATAGAACAATGATGCAATAAAAAATAAAGCAATATTCTAAGAATGATAAAATCATCACATTCTAAAAACACATATAGGCCATCACACAGCAGTAAACAAGCGTTGAAACTGGAAGTTGCCCCGAATGGCCCTTTATTTCCCAAAGACTCTACAAAAGAGTTCGTGTCAGGTTGCAAGCTACTCCAGAGTGAGAGGGCTGTGTCTGAAAAGGCCTACTTTCAAATCCCTATCCCCTGACATCCTGGGGAGGGGATATCTACATGTCCTCTTGGGCTGCTCCTACTTCATAAGCAGATTCTACTTACTTACTTTTTAATTTTTCAAATTTAGAAACCACCTGACTCCAGAGAGCTCCAGGCATCTGTACATTTAGAGTAGAGGGTCTTGAATATAACCTGGAATTAGGTAATAAAGAGCTATAGAGGCAATAATCAGCTTTTTGAATGAACCTGAAGCAACGCAGGAGCCAGTGCAGTTCCTAAAAATATTGGAATGATGCTGCCATAACAGGTTTAATCTGTCAGCAGGTGGGCAGCTGTATTTTACACCACCTTTATCTTCAAGAGCAGCCCCATGTAGACAAATTGTAGTAGTCTGGGTCGGTGGTTCTTAGGATCCCATTACACTCTTAAAAATGATTGAGGACCCCAAAGAACTTTGGTTTATGTAGGTTATGTATCGATATTTACTATATTAGAAATTAAAACTGAGAAATTTTAGAATATTTATTTGACTTTGTGGACCCCCTGAAAGGGGCTCGGGGATCTCCAGAAGTCCCCAGACCACACTTTGAGAACTGCTGGTCTAGATGATAACGGCATGAGTCACTGTTCGGTTTAGTTGTTTATGTTGCAGTCTAATTCTATGTTCTTTGTTCAAGAACAGTCATCTTAAACTTGGTGATGCTGGGAGATAAAAACGTTGTCCCTGTTTTTCTATTTTTTCATTTCTTGGATAAGATTTCCTGTTCCTTTTTATGCAAAACGTGTTTAAAATGAATGCAGGCTTATACCTTCGTTAACTTGTTTATGTGCTTGCTTTTAATACAGTGCATGAAGTATGTTCTCTGTTGACAAAGACTTCACCTTCGTTAACAGAAGAGAAACATGATTGGAGAATAATATTAACTATACTTAATTAATCCAGTTTAATTTTAATTAAATTGAAATAAATAAAATGGTATTCTTGTTCTGGACTGACCCACATCACTCAGAGGGCAAATGTAGCCTTTAGCCAAGAAAAAGTTGTACATCCTGATCTAGGCAAATTTGTTTTGCCTTTATATGATGTAATTTTGTTTGTTTTTTTATACCTCTGATCTAGGAATCGATGGTAGTGTCTGTTTATGTACAGGTCTACAGTGAAGGGGACTTGCAGGTTAATATGGAACCAATGATTAGATTAAGAACCAAGTCAGGAGACCTTTGGGAACCATTTAGAGAGTGGCTAATCTAAGTCAAAGCAGAAATGCCTCTTCCAATAAGACTCTTCAGCAAAATCTAATCTTATTTGGTATTTAAAATAAATAATGAGAAACAAAGAATGTTGTGTAATTCCATTTTAAAAGATAGGGTGGTGAAGGAATGGAAAGACAGATGAATCAGTAATGCTGTTTTACCACTCATTTTTCAGGTTGACGGTGGTGATTTGAAGCTTATCAGAGGGGAGGACATAAGAGGACAGCGTGTGGCCTGTGCCTGTGAAGGATGCTGAAGAAAAGTAGCCTGATTCTCTGGGGCGTGGTGCTTTTTGTGGCCTGGAACGCCCTGATCCTCTTCTTCCTGTGGACTCGGCCACAGTCTTTATCAGACCATAGCCACTTAACTGAAGAGGTGATCCGACTGGCCCAGGATGCTGAGGTCGAATTAGAGCGCCAAAAGGACCTTTTACATCAGATCTACCGTTACAGTTCCCTTTGGAGCAAATGGAAGACCAAAAACCTCCACCTGTCAACTCCAGTGTCAGCCCAGCCTTCCACAGCTGTGCTCTTACCCCATCACAGTCAAATATCTCCTGATGCTGTTTTGCCTGTGGTAGTGATTGCCTGTGACCGCAGCACAGTCCGCCGTTGTCTAGATAAACTATTGCATTACCGTCCCTCAAAGGAACGATTCCCCATCATTGTAAGCCAGGACTGTGGACATGAGGAAACAGCTAGAGTCATTGCCTCCTATGGAGATTCTATCATGCACATCAAGCAGCCCAACCTAAGTGATATCCCTGTGCCCACTGACCATCGCAAGTTTCAGGGATACTACAAAATTGCTCGACACTATCGCTGGGCCTTGAGTCAGGTTTTCCGGACCTTCAAATACCAAGCAGCTATTGTAGTAGAAGATGACTTGGAAGTCGCTCCAGATTTCTTTGAATACTTTCAAGCAGCTTTTCCACTTCTGCTAGCCGACCCAACCCTTTGGTGTATCTCTGCCTGGAATGATAATGGCAAGGAACAGATGGTAGATGCTGCCCATCCCGAACTTCTCTATCGTACTGACTTTTTCCCTGGTCTGGGCTGGCTTCTGCTCTCTGACTTGTGGGATGAGCTGGAACCCAAGTGGCCCAAGGCTTTCTGGGATGACTGGATGCGACAGCCTGAACAGCGGCAGGGCCGTTCATGCATCAGGCCTGAAGTGTCACGCACAATGACTTTTGGCCGTAAAGGCGTGAGCCACGGTCAGTTCTTTGACCAATATCTGAAGTTCATCAAGCTCAATGACCGTTTTGTGCCTTTCACCCAGATGGACCTTTCTTACCTCAAGAAGAATGAGTATGAACACTCATTCTTGGCCCGGGTCTATGGTGCCCCTGAGCTGCGTGTAGAAGAACTACAGGGGAACCAACACCGGGAGTTAGGTACTGTGCGAGTGCAGTATACCACTCGCGACTCTTTCAAGGCCTTTGCAAAAGCCTTGGGTGTTATGGATGACCTCAAATCAGGAGTGCCCCGTGCTGGCTATCAGGGCATTGTCAGCTTTCTTTACCGAGGCCGCCGTGTTTACCTGGCTCCTCCCCGTGACTGGACAGGCTATGACCCCAGCTGGAGTTAGCAGCTGATGATCTTTGAGCATGTTGGACCCCATCGGGAAAAGGGTGCTGGGTAGGGGTGGGAGGGCAAAACTCTATATTTTCTTCTCCTGTGTGGCATTCAGGTGCATTCCAGGAATGAGGATTGTTTTGTGCACTTAATTTGGGGGAGGGGGTAATGACAGGAGGGATAGGTTATGGGGGTATTCTGAAGCCCCAACATTGTGGATGAGAAGGAGCATTCTGGGCTCTCTCTCCTCTCCCCAGTGCCTATCTTCCTCCTTGACATTGCAGCCTGTCCACTCATTAGATCCTTGGTGGCTTGTCCAAATTGGTGCATTTTGAGGTCAAAGTGAATGCTAAACCAAAGCAATGACCCACTGAAGTTTTTCCAGTTTCATTGAGATATAGCAGGCCAGAGCAGCTTGTGATCTTACAAGGCAGATGTAACTCATTAATCATGTAGTGTGATTGGCCACAGACTTAATACATATCTTTAATTCTAGCCAAGCAAAATTGGGAGACTTGTTAAGTTCCCAGTAAACTACCATTCAAAACTGGTACACTGCATTCAACTTGATAGGTCACAGATAAGCTATAGAGAGAAAATAAAGGTTTTTCTCATCTCTTGGCTGCTGCTTCACTTCTCACCTGGGCATATGTAGGGTTTTGAAAGCAGGAAGCTCTTTTGAATGACGATTGAACCCTCAAAAGGACCATCTTTATTGACCATATTGGCCATTTTTATGTTGATCTCTTAGATATCCTAATTCTTTAACCCTATTGAATGGGACAATGGAGATACAATGTGCACAATGACAAACTTAATATGATTGTCACTCAGATGAGATGGAAAGGGAGGTCAGAGCCTCTTTTATTGCTTTTACTTGGGCACTAAGGGTAGTTGGAGAGCATGAACACATGCTACCTTTGTACAGCTCCATGCTGGGGCCTGTTAATTTTAGCTTAAATGAAGTTTTGGATGGAGGTGGGCATTTTCTTCTCATCCTCTCACCTGGTAATGAGATACATGAAGTTCTGGCTTTGCAACCTTCTAGTTGGTGCCTGCCAAAGGAACTTCCCGTCAAATGGTTCTTTCTGTAAGCTACAACAGAAAATAAAGGGATGCAGGTGAGCCTTTAAGTTTGAAGATGCCCTTCTATAAAATTCCTCTTGGGCATTGGGGGGAAGGCCCAAGGCTAGCTCTTTGTGACACATGAGGGAACTTGCAAACATTTCAGTCTCCACTTGTAATCTGAAATAACAGAGGCTTCACATATATCTGTTGCCTGTATATTTAAGGGAAGCTGACTGATGGCTTGATGTCAGTGCCATGTTCTCTTCCCAGGTTTATGAGGAGAACTTGCCCAAGGCTGCCTTAATTTCCCTGGTGTAGGAACTCCATCCTGATCTGTGGCAGAGTGTGCTTGTGACTCTGCTGCAGTTTTTAATTACTGGTTTTTCTGAATGGCCATATTGGAATTGGTCACTGCTACATACTTGGGAACAGTGTGGGCACTAAGAGTGGAGGGAGGAGACTTCTTGAGGCATTGGAGCATCTCATGAAAGGACTTCTCCAACAAAGGAGTCTAGCCTTATTCGGTGGGGCAGTGTCCATTTTCCCCATTCTTGCCTTTGGGAGTTGCCATTTTACTGCTCCAGCTGCCACTTTATGAGGCAGGCATGAGGAAGTGACTTCAGACCTCCTTTGGCCAAATTTTAGACCACACCAAAGGGTATTGCTTTATTTGAATGCTTATTACTTTTTCTCTCTTTTTTAAAAATACATCAGACCACCTCTATGATGAATGGAGGAAGAAAGACTGTGTTTTGGCATTCCACTTCAGTAAGGAAGTGGTTAAATGAAATAGGTATGGGAGGTTTTCCCTCCATATATCTGCTCTTCTAGCTGGGGCAAGTGGGAGGGTAGGAGATGGGAGGCTGCTGTGAATGGTTTGATGCATCTGCTTATGTCCTGAGATTTTCTTTTGAAAAAAGAAACTAATGCTGCAGAGGATGAGGCTCTCTAAAGAAAGAAAAAATGTCCTGTTGTGATCTGCATCTCAAATTTTGATAATTTGGAAATGTTCATAAGTTGATTTAACTTTAATTCTTTGAGAGAGACTACTATTTGCCAATTTTCTAGGTTGGGCTTCCATTTGAAAAGAAAGTAAAATAGGGCAGAAATGTATATAGAACATGAGTGGGGATGTCTCCGTGGAGAGCAAAGATCTTTTGGCATGATGCTACTTGCGTTTAACAACTTCCAGAATATACATGTGAAAATTATCACTTGAGTCATCTGTCTACAATGTGGTACCCTTCAGAAATGTAACCCATCTTATCTGGATGAGGGGCAGGGGGTGAAAGATGGTGGCAATGGATGCTTTGGCAGGTTGTTTTAATCCCTACTTTTAGGATTTGCTGGATCCAGGGTGAGGAATTGCCATTTCAAAACTAGAAACAGTAACAGAACTGTTCTTACTTTTGTTTTTGTGTTCTGTGACTCAGCTTGATGTCTCAGTTTGCAAGTCCACGACCGTTTCCTATCAGTAGAAGGCAGCTGCTGAAGTTCTGGAAGAAGGGGAGGGAAAATGGACTCTCTTTCTGGCTCCCTCCTTCTTTCCTCTTTGTCCTCTGGTGCTCAGTCAGTCAATCAATCAATCCAATCAATCAATCAATCAATCAATCAGGGAAATGGAAATAGAATAAGAGGGCAGAGCTACTAAATCATTTTCTTTCTGACTCCTCAGTTCTATGTAACTTAATCCATACCATCTGTGGCCCAAACTCTTTTCTTTGGCCTACTGTCTGTGTTAGTGTTTGTCCTAGGTCGCAGTGAAATGATCACACTTTCCATTGCAGTTAGTGATTTTGGTGAAACAACTGGAAGATGCTCAGCGGAGCAGCAGAAAGGAAACTCCACCAGCAGCTACAGTTTTTCCCCCTTTCTGTCCTGAGCTGCCTTCTGTTCATGAAAATATCTCTGCTGAAATTCCAACTGTCTGTACATCTGAATGTTTGAATCCAGGTGTTTGATGAAGAGATGCTGATTTTATGTTCAGACCTAATTGGTGAGAAAAGCTTAAAGAAGCAAAAACTTATTTTCCACAATAAAATAAAAGCCGGTCCTTTTCAGACAGTCTGTGTAATTGATCTCATGCAGCAATTTATTGCAGTGGTAATGCTTTAAGTAGAATCCAACAAAGGGGAGGGAATATAGCATTGCCTCTTCAGAGGCCTCTACACCCATTTGGTACCTTCCACTTGTACTAGGAGTCACTCCTGTCATCCAACATGGCATTGGTCTTCCTAGTAACATCAAATGTATATTTACGTCAAACAAGGTCAAGATCCTTTTCTCTGTTGTTCCAGTGTGCAGGATATGGGATAACGGATTTAAGTTACAGGAACACACATTCCAATTGTTTGGCTCTTACTATAATTCTTTTTCTAGCATTTGATAGGGCTGGCTAGTCAAAGAAGCCATGGACAACCATTTGTTGAGGATGCTTTAGAGTTTGGGTTGCACTGAGCAGAGGATTGGACTCGATGGCCCAAGTGGCCCCTTCCAGTTCCTTGATTCTACCTTCAAATTTATGACGGAGGACCAAAAGTCCCCTACAGCAACAAGGGGGTATTCTGTCATGGAAATCCCAGGTCCACAACAATCACTGCTGATATTTCCCCAGCCCTTTCCAAAAGCAAACAACCCTGTCTCCCCAACCCCTGCTTCCTATTTTGCTGTCCTCAATTTATGCAAAGCCATACATTATTATTAGCATTATTATGTAATCCAGCTGTCAGAGCTCCAGGATGCTTCCTTGATGCATTTGAACAAAAAATATGGAAGGATGCATAAGCATACCAATGACTTGAGGTTTTGCGTTGCTTTGTTAAGCAAAAATGAGACATCTTCTGTCAAAACCACTTAGATTTCCTCCAGCTTCTTAATTGGGAGGGATATGCAGTTTGCTGCATTAGCAAACTGAGAAATTAATGCTTTCTGAAGTTCCCAAGTTATAGGCTACTCAGGTTCTGTGTACTGTTTTATTAAGCATTTATTTGGAATGAATGTTGCTATTCATATTGGTAACGCAAACGCAACACAACAGTGACACTTGGTTAGCTTTTTATGGGATTATTTCTTGATTATTCAATTTCAAATCAAATAATCCTACTACATTGCATCTGCTTGGCTTCTGATACTTTTCCTCCAGCTATTTCAGTTTTTTAGAATTATTTGCAGAATCCTGTGGAGCAGCAGCAACTGGTAAAGGGGTACTAGCGCGACCTACCAACGGAGAGTCACCATTCTCCCTCCTTGTTGCTTTTCAGAACAAACAGCCGCTGTGGCACTCTGCTTTCAGCCAGTGCCTGAACCTTATGTAAATACGGATGTGGACATTCTGTATTGAAATATTTGGCAATAGGCTAATGGGATTTGCTCTTCTGCGTCAAAATGTAATCCAGAAGAGAACATTCAAAGAATCGGTAGTTGTGCAATGTTGATTGATTTCTTTCCAGACGTTTTTATTCTGCCACATGGCAGGCTAAAACACCTATCAGCAATTAAATAGAAGAATAGTTTACAAATCAACGTTGCATCAGCCAACAATTCACAAAAGAGAGGAATCGTGTTAGTTTCTGGCTGTACCGAGAACAGACAGAATTATATGCCTAAGAAAATGCCGAAAAGAGCTAAGATGAATCTCCCTTTTGCCATGATCACTTCTTGAACTAAGCACTACGGAGAACTTCTCCAAGCAGAGGATCTGCCACTTTTTGCTGACGGTGCAACCAGTAACCATGTTTTGGAAAGCAAGAAAAAGAAAGAATGTTTATTTTTGTTTGCTTCTTCCTTTTAAAATAAGGAACCTGGATTTTGTTTGCAGGTTTAGACTAAAGGTGAATACTATGTCTGAAAAGATTGAAAACTACTGGGATATATTAAGAGAAATGGCAAGATTAGACGTTCACTGGAAGCAAAGCAATACACTGACGTCATTTACACTGTACCGTAACACAGTGTTATTCGATGCAATATAGTTAGTACTGTGGTGAGTGTATTAGTGTATGAGAGAAGGAGAATCAATAGATAGGGTCCCATATGGGAGCAATCTTCTGAATTGCAGCTCATTTATTTCATTCTAGGCTAGTGAGTGGAATGGAAGTGTTCTCATGTTGCTTCTTTGGGAGAACAAGAAAGGTGATTTTACTTGAAAGTGAGAAAGACCTTATTGGCAGGTGTACAAGCCTTCTCCATCACCAGCGATAACAAATTAAAAAAAAATCCGACATGACATGACATGAGCCAACATACGTTTCCCCGAGGAGAACAAGCTTGCTGTTCTTGGCTTGGTTTCTCCCTTCGTTTCGTATGGAAGCATGCCCACCTGGCAATAAACACCCCCCCTGAATAGCGCACAGTGCTCTCTGGTTCCTTACATGCTTACCAGTCCATGCTCTGTCTCCCCACCATCAATACACCTGCAGTAAATTTATTTGGCTGCCTTCTCAGGGATTTTAAACGTAGGGTATTGACAAGGAAGGGGAAGTCACACTATGTGACTGACGGGTTGTATTCTGCTCAAGGCCTGGTTTTAAATGGCAAGTGTGAAGTGTGAAGGGAATTACCGTTGGTCCTCACTGAAGTATGTGAATGTTGTATGCACGCATGTGCTTGAATTCCACAAACAATGAGAATCCTGAAAGTTCACCTTCGATCTATTGGGCCATACACCTGTTTTGCTAATTGCTATCACTGAAGCAATGAGCATGAAACTGAGCAAACTCAGGGAGGCAGTGAAGGACAGGAAGGCCTGGCGCAATATGGTTCATGGGGTCACGAAGAGTCGGACACAACTTAACGACTAAACAACAACAATTAGCAATTAGGGGGAGTCCAGTTTCTGTGTTCAGAAGCAGTATTCTTTGCACCTCAGTTGCTGAAGAACAATACTATTGTGGGAAGGTGCTGCTCTGGGCCTGGCCTCTGGGGCTTTCTACAGACATCTGGTTGTCCACTCTGGAGTGCATGATGCTGGATTAGTAATGGATCATTGCTGTGACCTGAAAGGGCTGCTCCTTCAGTATCTCTGGGACAAGAATCCCATTAAATCTCTCCAGGACCATCATTTGGATTGTACTTTCAAACAGGAGGATCAAAATTCAGGTACAGTAGCCAGTGGCACCCAAAAGGTCCTGAATATGTATTGAGAGCAAGAAGAAATACCCATTTTCCTTTGTAAGCGGTATTACTTGGAGGACATCCTTGTGGTGACCTCTTACTCCCCTAGCCTTCCCTATCCCTTCAGAGAAAGGCAACCTGGTGTCCTCTGGGCTTTTGTTTTTGTTTTTAGCTTCTATGATTTCTTGCCATTCACAGTACTGGTTGAGGCTGATGGAAGTTGGAATAAAACATTTAGAGTAGGCTCCCTTGATTGGTGCTCTTCAGATGTGCAGACTTCACCTCCCAGAATTCCTAGCCAGCATGACCATTGCTAAATTGAGACCATACATCTGGAAGATGCTAGATTGGGGAAGACTAATCTGGACTACAAAGGAGAGACTGGTGATCCCCCAGATAAGGATGCTCAACTGGCTGCTGCAGTTAACATAATCACTTGTAAGGGTTGCAGTCCACAATATCAGGAGGGACACAGATTCCTCTCCCTTAATCCTACAGGGTACTAGTTGATCTACAGGTAGTCCTCGGTTAACAACTGCCCTGTTTAGTAACCATTTGAACTTACGACGGCACTGAAAAAGTAGCTTTACAACCCATCCTCAAACAACCAGCTTTTAAGAAGCAAAGTCAATGGAGAAGCCAGCAGTAAGTTGCAAGTTGTGGTCACATGATGTCTTGCTTAACAACTGTGGGTGATTCGCTTAGCAATGGAGTTGCCAGTCCCAATTGCGGACATTAAGTGAGGACTACCTGTATTTGTACACATATTGTGATATATCTAGTTTGGCTCTCAGTTATATCACACATTCAGTGCCACTTGGTTTATGAAATTCTCAAGCTGTGGTAGAAGTGGGCTATTGGGCAGGACAAACTGTAAGCCTCAGCAAATTTTTTTCCCACTTGGTGAATTTCCATCAGCTTTAATTCAAGAACCAATCAGTGCTTTTCTACTTCTTGAAAGCAAGATGTGGCACAAGTTATATACATGGGAAATGGAGATAGGCAAACCCAAGTCACTGGTACTCTTCCATTCTTGGCCCACCATTCAGATAAGCTTGTCCCCCTTTGGATGAATTCTGATAGGGAGTCTTGATTTTAGAACACTTGCCTGTCATTGTTGCACAGATTCATGCACATTTCTTTAATGGGGTTACTTATTATATATACTATCAAGTTGGTGTTGACTCTTCGTGACCACGTAGATAGTCGCAATCAAGTCCATCCTGCTGCTAGTCATCCTCTTCCACCATACTCAAACTTGTATGCCACCTAACTCTTGACAACTCTGGGTGGCTCACAACAATGAAAGAAATTACAGTAAAATCAATAAAGCATAACAAAGGTAACAGATGGCAAGCATGTTAAAGTGAGGGGCCTAGCTTTCCCTCACCAAAGGCCTGGAGAAGAGCCAGGTTTTCATTATAGACTTCTCAAGAGAACTAGGTATTTGCAAAATTGTCCAAAATATGATCATTTGAGCCTGGTCATTTGTGCCTTGAGTGAGAACTCTGGATTGATGTGTTCCATGATATATTTCTCTTTATCTTGACTATCCATGTATTCTGAGGAGTCTTCTCCAGCACCAAAGTTCAAAATACTCTTTCTATTCTGTTTCCTCAAAGTCCAACTTTCATAGAGTGTCAAAGAGAAAACCATTCTGATCTTTGCAGGTATAGGCACATTATAGCATCTGAATATCTTTTCCAAGACCTTTATTGCTACCTAACTAGTCTGTGACATATTTCTTGATTGTTGGTTCCTTTTCTGTTGATAGTCAAACTTAAAAGGAGAAAGTATCTACCACTTCAGTATCTTCATTGCCAATTCTAAGACTGGTTGCTCTTCTTGTTATCCTTTGTTTGGTCTTCTTTATATTTAAAGAAAATAAATACATTTCTATTTTTTTCGCTGTGCTCCTTGACTCTCATCACTAGAGTTTGCAGATCATCTGC